GTATATTTAGTGGTGGTTTTTGTTGCAAATTAGTGTTTTTATGTATTGTAAAAGTAACAAATCTAGAAAACTACACGTAGGAAATAGAAATTTTCCTTATTTATGTAATCAGTATAAGAGCGTGTTTGCTTTCTTATACTTTAACAAGCGATTAATTGAATCAAAAATTCAACTCTCGCATTCAATAAAAAGGTGAACGAAAGGTTGAACAATGCAAACACTGCTTAATGGCCAAATCACAAGATCGGTGCATTAGTACAGATTTGTATATATTGAACATCATATCATCAGTGGTGTTGTTTAGAAATTTTTATTGAGAATGAGTTCAACTCAATAAAAAATGTCCAAACAATAGCACTCCGTAACTGGTAAAATGTGGAAATCTGTAAATTTTTATTAACATAACTTATTTTTTTTTTTTTTTACTCTTTGATCCAATTAACCCTGAATCGGTAATCTTCGTCGATTTGACGAACACTGTTGCTCATTTTCTATTTTTCTCACCTTTAGATTGAAGAGCGAATTGCTCTAAAATATAAATAAAAAGCTTAAATAATAAGTATCCTCTATATTCTCTTTCTTGTTAAAGCTAATTATTATTGAAAGTAGTTTGGCAATCTTGCATGCAACATTTTTCTTAAAAAAAAGGGAAACAAAAAGCACTTTGTCGATTCGACGAAGATTACCTTTAAAGTATGTAAAATAACGTACCCTTTAACATCCACTTCTTCTGGATTTTTAATTTTCGTTTATTATACCCGAGCGCACTTGTGCACAAGGGTATATTAATTTTGTTCACATAACGGTTGTTTGTAACAGCCAAAACGAATCGAGATAGATATAGACAAATGTATACATAAATGATCAGGATGAAAAAAGAAATCGATTAAGCCATGTCTGTCTGTCCGTCCGTCCGTCCGTCTGTCCGTCTGTCCGTCCGTCCGTGTACACGATAACTCGAGCAAAAATTGAGATATCTCAACGAAATTTGGTATGTAGGTTTCCCTTAATCCAAGGTAGGTTGGTATTGAAAATGGGCGAAATCGGACTTTAACCACGCTATAATCCCATATAACGGTAATTTCCAGAAATACGAAAACTGCGATATTTTAGTAACTACTGAAGATAATTCACTCAAAATTGATATTTACAATAATTTTTAGACGAAAAATAAGAATATTATAAATTTTTGGAAAATGGGCGTAGCCACGCCCACTTATGGTTACATGTGTATATCTTGGTAACCGCTGCACCAATTTCTTCCAAACTTGGCACAGTTGTTGGCCTT